TGGCCGGGCCCTGGTGTGCCACAGCTCTGGTGGTCACCTCCTGGTGACCAGGGTCACTTGTGAGTCCCTGACCGGGTGCCCAGCTCAGCCACTCCGTCATCCTCCGTAAGGATGGAGGGCACCATCCCAGCAGGCTGATCCTCACCTGGGGTTCCTGTCCAGCGCTGAAATTGCTGCCAGGGCGCTGTGGGCAGACAGCGATGGAGAAGGAGTCAAGTGCAAGTCACGGCTCAAAGCAGTGCTCTCCTGCTCCGTCTGTCTCCCAGGCGGGTTGGAAAGGCTCTTTTTTATTATTTTCTTAAAAAGCAGTGGAGTCGCACCTCCTCCTCACACCTCCTCCTGCTGCTGCCACTGACAACAAACACGGGGGCTGGAGCCGTAAGGATTTCCAGGGGAGAACCACCATCCCGGGCTGACCCCCGAGGCTGCCGCTGGGGCTGCCCTGCGGCTGGGGAAGCTGTGGCTTCCCTCACATCCTCCTCCTCCTCCTCCATCGCTAAGAACACAGGCTGGAGCGGCATCTGCTGCGCTGAGAAGCTTTTTGTGGTTTTCGCAGAGGTTTTCCTGTGGAAGTGCTCGGCGGGAGTGCAGCAGCGGGGCAATGAGGCCCCGGGGAGCCCTGTGGGAGCACAGATCGCCTGGGGCTGGGGTGCTGGGAAGGTTTTGGTGGTGGTCATGGCAGAGGAGCCCCTGCCATCAGCTCCTGTGGTGATGCACCTGTGGCCTTTCCCCCCGTGTTATCCAGCCATGCTGTGGTGAGGCTGTGCCTGATGCTGGCACAGCTTTGCGCACCAACCCCTGGCTGTCCACAGCCCTGCTGTCAGAGCCTCTGACAGCCAAAACTATTTCTGTCAAAGCTGCCCGTCCTCTTCCCAGCCACAGGGTTCCTGGGAAAGTTTGAACTTTTCCGGGATTTTTTTTAAAAAGAGCTTTCAAATGAGAAGGAAATGAACAAAACCTGCCGACACCTGATGGCGTTGGTGGCGTGGCTGAGGGGCTTTGCTGTGGCACCAGAGCTGAGGTGCCCCGAGCCCTGGGGAGCAGCACAGCCTGGCAGGGATGCTGGGGCTTATCAGCCTGCAGGGCACAGATGCTGGCAGTGGCAGCGGGAGAGCCAGGAGGGGATCAGAGGGTCATTCACGGTCAGGGTCTGGGCCCTGAGGGTGCAATCCCAGCTGGGATGTGTGGGAAGGGGGCTCTGCCCTAACCCTGGGGGTGGGCTCGCCTGTGCGGTGCTTGTGGTCAGAGCTGGGAGGCTTTAGGCAGCACAAGGTGATGATAATTGATAACTATACAATAAGAAAAAAACTTGAAATAATAGCACAGAGATGGGTGCCTCTCTTGTTGTGGTGGCAGCATCTCTGTCACCATGGCCAGGGTGGTGGAGGGGCATCGGCTGGAGCCTCTGCCCTGCTTGGTGGCACTGGGTTTGCAGCCCCCGGTGTGGGGACCGGATTTTCCCGGGTCTGTTTTGGATGTTCTGCCCGTTCCCGGGGCCAGCACGGGAGCTGCATGGGCACAGCAGCGACCCTGAATGGAGTGGGAAGCTGGAAGGAGAAAGCAGCCCACCGAGCTGGGTGGAAAGCTGGCTGCAAACAACAGGAAATGAGAGCAGGGGGAACATCTGGCTCCAGCTCTTGCACCACTTCCGATGAGCAGCTGCTGCCTGCGGCTCCCTCCGCTCCTCCGGGGTGTCCCAGGGCTGGACCCGGCTGTCCCAGCCCAGAGCACCGCCACCCTGTCCCCATGGCCCGGGGGTCCCGGGGGGCACAGGCTGCGGTGCCCGGCCCGCCCCGCCGGCCGCCTTTGATGCGGCTGAGTGGCAGCGCCATTGTGGCCTCTTTGTGCCTCCCCCGGTGCTCCAGGTCCGCACAAAACCTGCCATGGAAACCGGAGCCAGCGCTGCCCCAGGAAACCCGCAGGCGCAATTAGGAAATGCAAATAGCAATGCAAATCCCCGCCTCGCCTTCCAGGGCTCCCAAAGCCGCCCCTGGGCCACCGATGTCCCTCCGATGTGCCCAGGCCATTGATGTGCCCGGGCCTCTGATGTCCCCACCTGTGCGGATGGGGAAGGTGTCAGCAGGGCCAGCAGGCAGACAGAGCTGCAGTGAGCTGCTCTCGGGGTGCCTCCGGCCCTTTTCCTGTCTCTCCACTCGTGGTGGCAGGACCGGGGCATCTCGGCCGTGCTGAGCGGTGACTCATAGGTGACAATATGACATTGACATTTTTTCCATCCTCTCTGTTGCCCAGCGACAAGCAAACAAACAAGTGTGTCTTCAGAGCCGCAGTGGCTGCCTTGCAGGGACCATCCCCTGGCTGGGCCCGGTCCCTGGGGTCCGCCTGGGTCTCTGGGGGTTTTTTGGGGAGGTAGAGCTGTCCCACAGCCCTGCTAGGACAGTGTGAGCCTGGCAGAGGCAAGGCAGGCTGCTCAGCAGTGAGGACCCTACACCAAAGCACACTGAGAATAGATGGGAAAGGAGATAAAATCCACCCACAAAGAGCTCCAGGAAGCACAGACTCTCCAGGTCATCCTTTCTAGGTGGCATTTGTGAGCACTGGAGACCTGGCTCTGCCTTGGTCCCCAGAGCAGTGTGTGTGGATGGAGTGGGGATAATGGGGCTGGGGAGGATGGACAGTGGAGCAGTTAAGGGTGATGCTGATCTGAGCCATTCCCCTCCCTGGAAGGAAGCAGTAAGGTTTTCTTTTCCATCTGCTGGAGGAGCCATAACTCAGAGCTGAGATTGGAATATGGAGGGCATCATCCACAGCAATAATCCATGTGGGGAATGGCAGATCCTTTATGCCCTGGTCTGGGCCTAATCTACAGCTGTGCCACTTAAAACCAGGCCTTGCTGATGGCTTTTAGTTTTCCAAGCTACAGCCCCTGGGTGCTTTTGTATTGGCGGCTGGAGTGGTGTGGGATGTGCATCCCCATTAGTGGTACGTTTTTCCAGCCCCAGCCTGCTTTTATTGCAGGGAAATGAGCTCTGACTCCTGGAAGTGGTATTTCTTCCTCCTGCCTGACAGCTGGTCGATCCCTGGCCTCGCTCTCGCTTCCCCAGGGAGGCACAGCCGATGGGCACACAGACCCTGCAGAGGGGCCTGGCCCTGTCCTTGGCTCAGGAAGCAGGGCTGAGCAGGGCAACAGGGAGATCACCTCCTGAAAACTGAGAGAACAGTCCTGGAGCTCTGCTGGTGGGGATGGGGACAGGCTTTGGGGAGGATTCCCAACTCCTGGAGCCCAAACTGCTCCTTCTGAAATCCTTGTGCTTTTTACTCTCCCTGGCTGGTGATTGCCACAATTAGTGCGAATCAGCTGGGTTGGGGTACCTGAATAGTACCTGAATTAGTCATGCAAACTTAAAAATAATGAAAGAGAAGCAAGAGGGGTTTTTAAGAAGAACATGACCTGTTGTGGTGGCTGGGCACAGCACGTGGCTGTTGGCAAAGGGGGCAACAAGCAGAGCCATTGCTGGGGGTCTGGGTGCCTTTGCCCCCCAGAACTGGGCTGGCACAGGAATGACTCTGCTGCTGAGGAGACTGAGAGTTTCTCTGGGCCTTGGCCTGGCCTCAAATCCAGGTTAGTGTCCCGTGTAATGTCTGTGGTGTGCTGTGATGGAGCAAACCCAGCGTTCCTCCTCCTGCCAGGGCTTTTCCCTGTGCCGGGATGGAGCAGCCCGTGCTGGCTGGCAGGAGGGGGCTGACGTGGGGCCTTAATTAAATCCCTGTCCCTGGCGAGGTGTAGCCTTTCCAGCAGGTTCTCCTGTGCCGAGCAATGTCACCCAGCAGGAGGGAGGACAAAAGCAATGACAGTGTGACACTGTGTCCCAGGACAGCGAGCGGATGCAGCGCTGCATTGTTGGCTCGGCACTTTCCCGGGATAGCTTGCATCCACCATATGGCTCAGTGACTCATGAAAAACCCTCTGTGTTTGTGTTTCATTAGTCCCCCTCTCCCCTGGCTCTTGTGGGCGTGCTGCTGAGAGGCTCTGGGGATGAGCTGGGCTGTGGCTGGTCTGCCCTCAGGCTCATCCTGGGTGTCAGGGGTGGATGGGTGACCACAGGGTGGCCAGTGCATGGCAGGTGGGCATCAGGCAGTGACACTTTGTGCCCTCTCTTACTGCTGTGGTGCAAGGGATGGGGAAGTGAGGGGGGAAGGTCTCCTCCTCCTCTCCCTGGGGACCCCTGAGGCTGTGGATGTGGTGAGGGAGGTGCAGGACCTTCCCACCACACACGACATGGAAACCCAGCGCCTTTGGTCCTCCCTGGCTGTGGTTTGGTCCCCGAGGGAAGGGGGATCACAGCAGCCACTCTGTGATCACCTTTAAATCTTCTCAGCAGCCCCTCTGGCCAGGGGCCTGTCCTGGTGAATAATTCACCGTGTGCTGGCAGGGAGAGTTTTACTCCACTAATTTTGTTTCCATAGAAACTCGTGCGGTCTGTGCTCCAGAGCTCCGGGTGAATCAATACGGGATTTTTCCTCTGCGCGCTGAGCGACGGCCCTTAAACCCTGATGGCAGGAGAGCAGCCCCAGAGAGGCTGGGCCTGCTCTGCACGGGCTGTCCCTGCCTGTCCCTGCCTGTCCCTGCCTGTCCCTGCCCGTCCCTGCCCGTCCCTGCCTCTGTGGGATGCCCAGGGCCCCATCCTGCAGAGATGCTCTGCACCAGCCTGGGGCAGGCTCAGCCCAGTCCATCCCAGTCCATTCCAGTATGTTCCTGCCATGCAGAGAGATGCAGGGGAAGGTCTGCCTCTACTCTTTCTCCCTTTTTCCCTCCTATCCTTTAATTTCTGTGACCCTTGACCTATAATGGCAAATTAGCAATGGGAATCAGCCACACTAATTGTCCAGGGAGTGGGGCTGGCCCTGCCCCCAGCCTGGTTCATGTTCCCCCCTCCCCTTTATTGCTCACTGCCCAAACCTAACCCAGAAATTGCCCTGCAGCAAATCCTCCACAGGCCCTGAGCCCCATCCCCAGGGAATGCCACACACCTTTGTGTCCGCAGGAATTTTTATTTTCTTTCACTCCCAGCTGCTTCCCAGCTTTTGTGCCGAGCTGGGAGCACAAAGGGAGGAGAGGGATAAGCAGTTCCAGACGGGTTTGTGTGACATATGGCGTGAGGGCTTTGTGCAGCAGCTGTGGGGGGACAGCAGCGGGCACGGGGTGCCTGAGCCTCCCTCCTGCCAGCCTTGGCACGGGTAAACTGAGGCAGGGAGCTGGGCATGGGGCTGTCCCATGGGATGGAGGCAGTGCTGGATCTTGGCTGTGTGCGCTGTTCCAGAGCTCTGAGCTGATGGTTCAGCTGGGCCCTGCGTGTTTGATGTCGGCGGTGAAAGCCAGGGGAGGAAAGGTCACTGACACCAGCCACCTCCTGCAATAATCTTATATCAGCCTCTCTGCTTTGGGCAGCCTCGTGGATCTAATTTATTACACGGTGATGCAAGGTGGAGTTGAGGAGAGTCGCAGTTAAACCGTACAAAGGGATGCCGGGTCACTTTAATCGCTCACACTTGCTTGACCTATTTTTTTTTAATCCCTTCCTGGAAACCTTATTTCATGTTTGAATTCCCTCAACTATTTTAGGAATGTCGTCCTGCCAAGATCAAATTACCTTCAATGAAACCAGTGCAGGGCGGCCTCGCAAGGCAGGCGACATTTGGACAAGGATCCAGCGCTGCCTCATTAACGTGGGCTTAGTTTGGGGCGGGGGCTGCGGTCCTGCAGCAGAAAAGGTGTGAGAGCCAAGCGGGGATTAGCGCTGCACAATGCCCAGGGGCAGGGGGTGGCTCTGCCTGCCTTGGCACGAGGGCTGGGGCACCAGGAGCCCCTGGCAGCCTGGCACTGGCAGGGAAGGTGGGTGCAGCAGTGCAGCCCTGCCTGGCTCTCAGCTCAGAGTGTTTAGCGGGGTGTTGGTGGTTTAGGAGCCAGCTGGGTGCTGTGCAGGGCCACATCACAAAGGGCTCCCATGAATCTGTCCCGAGGGAGGGCATGCAGCCCTCGTGGGAGAGCAGTGGGTGCCCCGAGCTGCATCCCTTACAGGTGCATCCCGAGTGTTCAGGGGGCTGCAGTGTCCAGGGCTCCCTGGAAAGCAGGAGAGCACCTGGGCAGGGATTGGGATCACTCCGTGGCTCTCCTGGTTCCTCTGCACTTGCCCTGGGAGCCAAGAGAGGAATTTCCTGCTGCAGAGAGGTTGGTGCTGCACAGGTTCCCAAGCAGGGCTTACTTGTGCTCGCCTCCCTGATTGCTTTTGCTTTTGAAAAGGGCTTAAACCCAGCTGTTTTAATACTCGGCAGAACAAGTATTAAAGGAGATCCTCAGGTGCTTATTTGTTTCCATGAGAAAGGATTTGCTCAGAGCAGTTTTCCCGGGTTGTGGGCCCAGGAGGGGTGCACAGCATCCCCTGAGGCTGAGAGGAAGGTGACAAGGGGATTTAGGAGAGACTGTTAGGGGCCCATCCTGCACATCCTTGGCACGTTTGCTGGTAGAGAATAGCGTAATTTCTGTTCCTGATCATACACTTTTCATCCCAATTTCAGTCCTGTTACAGTCACACCTGCAGCTGCTGAGCAGTCGCGTTCCCAGACTTCTCGTTCCCACACTGAGCAATCCCCTTGCAGGGGCCTGGCTGCAGCAGAACTCAGCACATCTGCTCTGGACAGAGCCACTACTTCTGCTTTAACATCCTTGAGTTTTGAGACTTCTTCCAAGAGTCTTCCCTCCTGGAACCGGGGGAGCTGTCAGCCCTTTTCTCCAAATAATCCTGTGATGGAAATGCTTCTGCACGTCTGCTCTGCATCCCCAGCTGAGGCACCACGGGCCTGGGCTTGCAGCCACCACGGGATGAGTGCCCTGAGGGCTGGGGAGTGTGGGCTGGGGGTCCCTGCCCTCGGGGCTGGGGGTCCCTGCCCTCGGTGGTGTCCCCCCATCCTGGCTGCAGAGGGGGTCCAGGTTCCCATGTGTTTTCAGGGGGATCCGTGAGCACAGCGTGGCAAGAGCAGGGGAGAAGGAGCTGGGCAGTGTCTGAGCAGTCCCATCTGCTGTCTGAGCCGCAGCAGACACTGGGGAAGGGAATATTCTGGTCTGCACTCGGTGCCAAGGCTGTTCCCTGAGCAGGGAGGGCTGTGAGCCATCAGCCCCAGCGCTTTTCCAGCTGCTGGCTCTCCGGTGGGGCTGTGCTGAGCCGAGCAACTGCTGCTGCCAGCCCCACATTCCCGTCTGACCCACCCCCGGGATTATCCAGCTGCTCTTCCCGGGCAGCTGGGGCCAGCAGCCTCTCTGGAGCTTCCCCTGGGGCCGTCCCTCCATGGAAGAGCCCATTTTTGGGAGGTACAGAGTGCCGGCTGCCGGGCTGGGTGAGAGCAGCCATGCCAGGCAGGATGCCGGGGGCACAGGAGGATGCTCCTGCCAGGCTGTGGGCATTGTCCCTCCCCAGGAGCCTGACTGAGGCCTTCTCCTGGCTCTGCTCTCGTCCTTGGCACTGGCAGGGGTGGCTCTGAATTGTGCAAGGCACTGGCAGCCTGGGTGGTACAGGGTGAAGCCCTGGGCTGGCAGGGGGAGCTGCCCCCCAAGGCCAGCTCCTGTTTGGTTGTATTTTATGGGTTTGAGTGGTGAGCCAAGGGTGTGCCAGTGCCTGAGCACAGTGTGCACTGAGACAGCAGTCGTGTGGGACAGTGTCCTGTGCTCTCCTGGCTGTGCAGTGACACAAAACAGCATTTCCAGTGCCAGCCCTGTGGAGGCACCTGGATAAAAGCTGGTGTGGATGTGGCATTGTGGCAGCCCTTCCTACCCAGTGCTGGCCCTGTGACCTGTGGGACGGGGACACGCAGACCAGGAGCCTGCAAAGCCTTTAAGCTCCTCCTGTGATGGGCACAGCAGAAGGGTGAGGGATTATGCCTGGGTTTGGAGGATGAATCACAGCATCAGGGTCCTTGTGCAGGCAGCAGGGCAGGAGCTGTTGTCAGGCAGCAGCCCAGGAGTCATCCCAGGCTGGTTCTGCACGTGGGGCAGGAGGGCAGAGGGGCCCAGCCCGTGCCCTGAGCCCCTGTGCCCGCGTGGGCTGAGGGCACAGCTAAACTCTTCTTTCCTTTTTGGGAAATCCAAGGGATTTTGCTTTTCCTGGCATCTCCCCAGCCCCTCACTGACATCACAGAAGGAAGGGCCAGGGACATGCTGAGCCCTTCCCCAGCTGCCCCGGGTCCTGCTCCCTCCCCGCTGCCCACCTGAGCACTGAGGGGCTGGGGCAGCTCAGGGTCCGGATACCTGTTGGTGTTTGGAACCAGCTCCTGCCAACAGCGCCACTGGCGCTTCCCTGGGTTTTCACCCATGCTGATGCAGTGATTTGCATTTCTTTGGATTAGCAGCAGGACTTTGAAAAATGGGTTTAAAAGCCTCCAGGGCATGTGAACTGCCCTGGTCTGTGTGGCCTCTGCCAGCCCCGAATTCCTGGGGTATCTCAGGGCAGGGAAGGTCCCAGCACATTCCCCTGGGACTCTTTGAAGCCAGATGTGCAGCGGTGCCTTTCTGCTGTAAAATATCTTGTCCCCAATTTTGTTCAGATTCTGACCAGAGGATTTTCATGGCTCAGCACGTTGCTATCCAGCACTTCCAGGGAGCTGTCCCAGCCTCCCGTGGCCAACACCTCCCCTGAGTTGGTGTTGGCAACAGGGGGATTGCCAGTGCCTGGCACAGCCCTCCTGGTTACAGGGAAGCCTTTAAATACACACTCAAAGGTCAAATGCTGGGACACAAAGATTCCCCAGCCCACGTACTTTGGTTGCTTTATGGAGATCTGGAGAATTCCAGCCTGATTTTGGGGGGTTATTGTGCTGTTGGAGGTTTATGGGCTGGCACAGCATTGCTGAGGCAATGGTTCTGCACAGAAACTCCCATCTCCATCCCTGGATTGTGGCTGTGTGTGTATCCAGCATAAGCTGTGTTCCCGTGGGTGTCCAGGCTCTTGGAGTAGCCAAATCTTGTAAGGAGGTGTGTACCCTGTGAATGTGTTACAACTCTATTTAATACGTGACTAAACCAGCCATGCAATATTGCAATTAAAGTATAATTCCAGAGGTGTGAACAATGCTGGCTCTTGGCTGGAGTGAGTCAGGGGAGCGGAGGAGGAAGCGAGCAGCAGTGTTTTATTAATTGACTCCAGCGGATTTATTTGTCCTCAGTGAATAGAGCCGGGCAGAGCTGTCGGGATTGTTCCTGCTCTGCTCCATGCCTGGCTCCTGGCAAGCTGATCCTGGGGACTGAATTACGGGATGGAGACAGTTCCTGGCTGAGTGACCACTTAAATGGATAGTATTAGTGAGCAGGAGCGAGCTGGGGGCTCCTGGTGCTGTTTGGAAATGGCCCCTTGTGCCCAACAGTAATTCTGCTGCTGCTTTTCCCTGGGTCCTGTCCTGCCTGGCAGCAAATGCCACAGGAGGTGGCACTGGATGGCCCCTGGCACCTGCTCAGCCCAGGGACCGACTGATGCATCCAGATGGAAATGCTTCCAGGATTACAGAAAAGCCAGGAAGGAGAGCAGGGTGTGCCTGGAGCAGGGATCATCCCTGTGATTCCTCTGGTACAGCAGCAGTGCTGTCCCTGGGATGAAGGTGGGGGTAAATTAGCAGTGGGGCAAAAGGTGAGCTTCTCCCCGAGCTCCCGCTGAGTTCCCCATGTATTGCAAGTGTGTTTTGTTCTCAGCAGCCTCTGGAAGCCCCTTGGAGCAGCTCGGGGCTGTGGCTGTCACACATGGTCTTGCTGGGCAGGGGAGAGCCCAGGTGACCTTCAGAGGTGACTGCTCCTCTTAATGGCTTGGAATCTGATTATACCATTTCGCTAAGAAATGTGCTTGGCACGTTCTTCTGCATTAAATACCATTTAGGGACAGTTATCCTGAACTCTCTGCCTGCCGCTTAGGAAAAAGCCTTTGAAAATGATATTATGGATCAAAAGTGTTCCTGGGGTAATTCTGTTTCAAACAGTGGAGTTAATCCAGAACTGAATTTGGCCCTGCATTTTCAAACGAGAAGCAGTAGCTGTATAATCTGTTTATGGTTTTAAAGTGAATGTTAATCTTGGATTTGGTAGCTTTTCCAAAAGGTCGATTTGCCGTGCTGCAGAGCATTTCAGCCCCCTGCCCTGACACTCTCTGAGCTGACTCCATGTTTTATTTTAAAGAGTGATTTTACCGTGTTTATAAATACATGTCAAACCTGGAAACGTTAACTCTGGGCAGTGGAAGTAATGCCATTTTTCTTGCCTTGCATTTTGCTGGTACAGCTCCTGGCATGGCACGTCCAGGCTCCGGCGTGCTGGGCCCGCTGCGGGGATGGCTCTGTCCCACGAGGATGCAGTGGGATGGGTGGAACAGAACAGAATGTGCCCTGCTGAGACAGGGCAGCCTCTGGGTGCTGTCCCTGGTGACTGTGTCCC